CGGGGCAACCTGGCGCAGGCGTGGGAGGCTGGCTGCGCGGAGGCGCTGCCGTTGGCGGCGGAGCTCGCGGTGGTGCGGGTGGCGGCGCCTGCTCGGCCCAGATCTAGGCCCCTTCAGGCCCATCTAGGCCGCGGCGGGCCGGCGGCTTCTCATCGACGGCGGAGCCCCCTGGAGGTGCAGTTCGGGCGTAGGAAGGCTGGGTGGGGGCGGCACCGTCGCCGGCTTGCTGCAGCGGGGCGGCAGCGGCTTTGCGGGCCTGAGATGGGCCTGGCCGGGCCCGGGGTGGCCTGGTGTGCCACTGCGGCCACGTCCGGTCGGCACCCGCGACGGTGCTAGAGGCACAGGCCTCCCGCACAATGGTGGTGGAGGTGGTTCCCTCCGGCGCGGCTCCGGTGCTGCCCCTCCCGATTTCTGGCGCTCCTCTCTCCATCCTCTAGGCCTCGTGATGGCGGTCTCAATGAGGCGGCATGGATGACTTCAAGACCGTGGTGGCGTATGCTGGTTGGTGGTTGGCTGGCTGGTTGGCTCCGGATCGGACGGATAGTGGTGGTTGGGATGCGGGAGAAATCCCTGCCGGTTCTTCCGGCGCCGACGCGGTGTCGCCTACGGGCGTCGCCTTTCCTTCCTGAGGGGCGTAGGTGTTACCCATCCTCCACTCCTCTCCGCGTGCCGGGGGAAACCGTAGGACATGTCCGGGCAGCAGCGTCGTCGACGTCGCACCCCTTCTTGAAGGTGCTGCTTGGTTACGCGGCGATTCGGAGCCTTGGTGTGTGGTGGGACGAATCCGGAGGGCGCAGCGGTGGCGGATCATCTTAGCTTTGCCGAGTTGCCGTTGTTGGCATTTTGTTCTTCTTCTTTCTCTTTTGGGCTTGATGTGTTGTGCGCCCCAGCAGTTACCGTGTGATTGGTGGAAGTTGCTTTATTTATAAAGCGGGGGGAAACCCTTTTTCGGAATTTTCAATGAAAGAAATGCGAAGTACACCAGATTGCTCGGTCATGATGATGAACCCAGGGTTCAGACTGTACATTGCAGACCCACGAGGTGGCCAGTTGTTCACGAGGTGGCTAATTAAGATTAAAAAAAACATGATCCAATATCTCTATCACATGAAAGAAACATTTCATAAATAACTCATTGATTCCAGACCTTGGAAGTAAAGGTCCCTTAGACGAACTTACCTTGTGTTAAGCCGACCAAAGCAAAAATCAGGAACTCGGGATCGGATGTGGTTGCCGCTGCATCTGCGACCGATAAAAATCCACCCTGACACCTTCTGGTACATGCCGCCGATACCTAGAAAATACTGCTGTTATGCCATTGAAATGCTCAAAGTTCTAAAAAGTGAAAAAAAAAATCAAACAATGCCAAAAACTTGAAGACATTCCAGCAAATCAAGCATAAATCAGTGAACAATACGGTATTATTTCAGTTAAAACTGAGATCTGCTATTTTTTTTCCAAGTTCAATTTATGGGTTCAAATTTTAAAATGTACAGAAAAGTTTGAAAAAACTACAGGAAGTCGGTAGCCACGGGATACATAATCCGACCTCTTTCGTACATATTATCTTGAATTCTTGATCTTACCTAAACAGCTTTTGAAGGCAGTAAATGAATAGAAATGCCACATTGACAATCTTTATCTACACTGTATTAATTCGAATTTATTGAATACTCAGCAATTACTGATTGCTCGACAGCAAAATTGAAGCCATTTTAGTACAACTAGAACAAAAGACACAAAGTCTAAAAAGGAAAGTGGTCATCTTCAAGTCAATCCTAGCAAAATGTAATAACGTTTGATAAGATGGCTTGTATTAACTAAACTTATATGTGCATATGTAGTTATAGCAAGAACTGGAGAGAGATCAGCTCCAAAGAGCAGATGAAATGTGTTATTCCATCCAAAATTGAGTACCTGTGCGATAAATCTTTTTCATTACTTCCTGTTAACCAACTAAACACAAGAGGTACACATTTTATCCATATGTAAGAAAAGAAAGAGGCATTTAAAAAACAAGATGATCGATACAAAAGCATTGATGCTGCAAATGAACTAGGCAAGTTTGCAGATCAGAACCTAATAATACACGAAGCATAGTTATTAGACAATTATCGATCAAGAAACCCAAATATTGAACCACATCAAATAAGCAACACTAAATACAATCCTGATTGAGGTACTGTAATTTTATTGTGTACAGTTGACTTGGTTTACAGATTTGTCAAGCTTATTTTTTTTATGTAAGATTGGTTAATCTACAAGTGTTCAGAATTGCAAATCACCAAACCAGTAACAGAAGGAATGACAAGTACTTATGGCAGAGTAGTCTACGGTATTCGACATAGACAAGCATTACCAAGGCCAATATGATGTCTCATGCCCGTTTTTTTCGTTTGATCTGATCATTCATCCCTTCTCAACCGTGGTCTTTAGTTACCACTTACCAGTCAGATGGTCGTTGGCAAAATGCCGCAAGTAACACTAACAGTCTCAATGAAATAGTTCAGGATTACTACCCATCTTCCCAGAATTAGTAGTGTACCAGATTGACTTAAGTAGGCATTCGCGTAGAGGCCATCTGCACCTGCTCGCCAAAACAGACCGCCCTCGAATGTGCGCAGGCCCTCAGGGCAGTGGAGAGTAGGAACTCATTCTGCCCTTGGCCTTCGGAGGCATCTCCCTCACGGCCGTGCTGCGCATACATGGTGATGTCGGAGCCCCAGGAGACGAGGTTCCACCGTGGCATCCGGTCGAACAGGTGGCGGGCGCTGTCAAGGCGGACCAGCTTGATTGGAGCAGCCGCGGAGGAGCAGGTTGGTCAGGAAGAGGCACGGGAGAGCCTCGGTGGAGAAGGAGCCGGTCGCCGGCGAGGCATGAGAGGAGGAGCTGGGCGAGGCTGGCTCATGTGCCGCCGGCTCGGGACAGGGCAACGAGCTTCTTCACCTCCGGCGCGTTCTTGATCAACCGCGCGTCCCATGTACGACATCCCGTCAGAATCGAGCGCGTCGACGCGGGAGTCGAGGAGCGCCGGTCTTTGTCCATCTGCCCAACCACCCACGACGCGGGAGTCGAGGAACGGCGTCGTCGTGGAGGTGCGCGTCGTTGCCCAACCGCCCCACCAGCCACCAGCCACCACCCACGACGCCGCCCCGCCGCTCGCGCCACCTGCCCGAACTTCTCGCCCCCTCCCCACTCAACGCTCTCTCCGGCCGCGATTGAGTGGTCAGTTTTAGCCGTAAACCTGGGCCGTCATCGACAGGGCCACTTTTTGTGGGCCACATCCATCCACCCGCAACTGTATATAACGACGAGTCTTCCTCATTCCCCACGTGTAGGATTAGTTCGAGGTCAGTGGCGAGGGAGGCGACGACAGCCGGCGGTGAGAGGAGGAGCATCGGGGTCGCGCCCCGGCGAGTCTTCCTCATTCCCCACGCCGGCGTCAGGTACGCGGGGCGGAGCGGGTGGACACGCCGGCGGCTTCAGTTCAGGGTAAGGCCGATGCTTCAGTCCCACATCGCCAACCCAATCCAGGACGTTTTTGACCGATTTTTAAGCGTTTCCCTTTACACTGGTATCAACAAGTAAGACATCGGTATTATAGGATGAACAGTAGAGCGCGCAGATGGCACGCTCTGGGGGTGATCACCACGGGCATGGCATGCTCTGGCGCCTTCCCGTGTAAACAACCATGTCCAGAGTGCATTCCTTAGTGTTTTAGTGTGAGTGTGTGCTGGGTTGGGTCTAGTGAGGTTTAGTTGTGAGCTGAGCATCCATCTTAGGTTTCTGTCTGTAGGTGTTTGCGATCTGCCATTTGAAATTGGCTTTGCCAAAAACATGCTCATTTTTGTTGTGGCATTGTTTGGTATGATGGTGGAT